GCTCCGTAACGTCCCCAAGCCCCAGCTTGGTATATTTTGAACACACACCCTTTTGCATAGGTCCAGTCCCTGTCCCTTTGTACCTGCTAACCATACGGATTTCCCTTTACTCTCTGTTTCACTACCTCTGTTTCTCCTTATTCTCGTCTATTGTCTCTCTGATCGCCTATACGATCGAATATACGCTTTTACTTCAAGTCTAAGCCTTCCGAGTGAGTCCCCGAGCTCCCTCGAACATTACTAAAGCTCCCCAATGCCTACACGCTTTGGTGAGCTACCCTTCCCCAAACCTCCCAGAGCTCCCTAGCTACTTCGTAAGCTTCGGGACCTCGATTTAGGTAACGTCGAAGCTACCCCTCACGTTGAACTACGTACTGCTTCTCCGTTACCACCTCCCCCACTTGAGGACGTCCATCCTCAAGCCCAGCCCCCAGGGACCTACCCTCCCTGACATATCCCTTCTCGGGAGCTTATACCCTTGAGACCCAGTTACATATACGACCTACTCAATCCTATATTGACGTTCTAGCGAGTACAACTCCTACTACGCAATATCGTACGGTCTCGTACTCTTCCATAACCTCCCTCCGCCTTAGGGACCTCCCTGGACCTCCTAGGAACCCCCTCAAGGGTCATCATCTCGTCGTTCCAGCCACTACTAGGTCATTCCCGTCCTCGGTCGCGGTTCTCGTAGCTCCCTTCGAGCTCCAGCCTGCTCTTAGCACGCTACAACATAAACCTCCATATACCAAAACCTACCCTAAGACCTATTTTGACCCAGGTCTTACACTGGAGCAATCAATTCAATTATATCTTCTTCAATATCAATCGGATTAATTTCTTTGCTCTTCCTTTTCAGATCGAGATTAGATTTCTTCAAATTCCTCGGTAAAGATGTAAGTCTTCCTTGAGATATAGATGATCCTGTTCCTCTAGAAACAGAACTTCCACGTGATTCTTCTGTCAGTATTTGAGAAGAGGATGGACGACTGGATTTGTTCGTAGGGTTTACTAGGGATGTTCGAGCTGAAGTGCCGAACGTAGATCTCCCAAATACAACTCCTGCTTTACGATATTCTTCCGGTGTCAATACTCCGGCTTTCTCCGAATTCTTCGAAGTACACGGTTTTCCTGATGAACTAATGTTGACAGTTCACAGAAATGGTATCACAAAGATCAACCCACTTCTACTAAATAATCGAATATAATCCAAACAAACGTTCAATTTAATTTATTAAGCTAATTGTAGCTTCAAAACCACCCCTCGCGGTGGGCTCCAGATAACGAGCTTGCCTCGTTTTTGTGTGAAAGAGAAAGGAAGGAATCTAATGGGCACTCCAACCAACCAATCTAATACACAATATGCAAGTTCACTGCTATCAAATTTATTTAATAGCAAGGGGTAGCATTGGCAAAGGTTCTGCAAAGCTTTGAGAGCTAAGTAAGAAGCTTCGATCAATCAATTTGAATCGTTCTAAGGATTCGATATATTCCTTTGATTAAGGTAGGTTCAGCACGATTTGTGCTTTGATTGTATTGATATGGGTATATCAAGAATTGGGGTTTTTGAATCAAAGTAAATTAAAACCGAAACACACAGACCCCTACAGAGGGCTAGAACTATGTGCTGGCACAACCACACAGCGTGATTTGCCCTTAAGACCAATGACTGATCCTAAGTTCGAAGAATACCCAACAACTGGATATACTTCTCGCAGTCACAAGGAGCAGAACACAATGTTCCTATACTCACAAGTGCCGGGCCCAAATGGCTGCTAGCGAAGAGGTTTCAGTCTGGCGGGAGTGTGTCTTTCCTTTTTACGGATTAGCACTGCAACGTCGTCCCAAAATCACTTGTATTCCAGATACATCGGATCGCTATTTATACATACAGAATATAGAATTGCACAGTACAATTAATTTAATACAATAAATGTTCGGAACCGCAAGGAAACTTCTACAATCAGTCAGATACCATTTAATTTGAATCTACAGGTCCTTATTTGGTCCATATTGGTTCCAAGATTCTAGTATACCTCCAAACATAGGTAGGTACTTCAATATTCATTTAATTTAATTGTTTTTAGAGAATGACTCGAATAGTGTTCAACTGTCATCGCTGTTCAACACTTACTTCGATTGTTTGTCACCTTGTCCGGAGGCAAATCAGCTCTCCTCAATTCTAATCCTATCAATCTGATTCATCTGGATTAAACTAATTGCTTCTCTCTTTCAATAGACACCCATTGTGCCTATACTCTATCAAGGGAGTTACGCATAGTATTCATTTAATTGCATTCTTCAATATTTTCTACGTCAGGACTCTTTGACATTCATTTGATATGTCTTCGGAGCCTCGCAGTACTTCGATCGTTCTTCTAGTCATTTTCCTCAACCATGCAACTTGATTGGTCTATTAGACTAAATCGCAGTCTTTTAGATTAATGCATGATCTCATTTTAGAAAGAGTATTTGATAATTCCTAAGTTCTAGAAAGTCATTTTGAGTCAATCCTCAGCTCATGGTCACTTGAGTAAGTTCTTCCAAACTCCTGCCAGTGTAAGGTCCAATAAGAATACCCTTGGTATGTCATACATGAATGGTCATCCTTCGGATGTAGTCTGAGCCTGGTATAATCCTGCTTGACAAACAGGTAGACTGTTATCCGAAGGTAGTATCGGGGATGGGTAAACTAACCAACTTGTGGTAGTATGGGTATATGGTCCCTTCAGCTTATTAGACTGATTCAGTATTGACTTTGACTGTCAATCTGGGTCTCAATTACAGTCCTCTCGATACAAATCTATACGTGAAAATGTCACAATTCACAGCATAGACGTCTAGCCAAAATTTAGGCATATTACCAATGGAGTAGAAGCTCGGGAGGGAGGTCCCGGGAAGTGGAGATAGAGGTGGATGTCCTCAAGCGTTGGAGGTGGTAACGGAGAAGTGGTACATAGTTCGATGTAGGGGATAGCTTCGATGTTAGCTGGATCAAGGTCCCTGAGCTTGTGGAGCACTTGGGGAGCTTGAGGAGGTTTGGGGGAGGTTGGCTCACCAAAACGATAGATGTTTGGGGAGCTTTAGTATTGGTTAAGGGAGCTCAAAGACTCACTCGGATTGCTTAGACGTGAGGTAAAAGCATGTATTGGATTGTTTAGACGACCATAGAGATGAGATAGTAATAGAGAAACAGAGATAAAGAAACAGAGAGTAAGAGAAATCCGTATAGTTAGCAGGTACAAAGGGACAGGGACTGGACCTATGCAAAAGGGTGTGTGTTCAAAATATACCAAGCTGGGGCTTCGGGACATTGTAAGACTACTTAAATAGGTACGGGAAGTGAACAAGGGGACATCGGGAAATCTGGAGAACGCAGGTGATTAAGATTGATACTTAATGAGTTTGGTGGTAGGAGGTTTTGTGCACGTGTCAGGGGATGTTAAGATCATGTACACCGTGTAACCGTGCCAAGGCCACAAGGTGTCTAAGTGCGGAAGACGAGTGGGACAGTAGTGAAGTTATTAACAACACCGCCGTTACGCCGTTAGTCCCCGGAGATCGAGAGTATAGAGAGAGGAGCTAAGTAGCAGCCAAGTTGGAGCGGCGGTATCGCTGATGACGAGGAGCGGGCCAGAGGACGTTCAAGTCCTAAGGTCGAGTAGGACGTATAATTAAACTGAGGAACTACAGTAGCGTACAGGCAGTATTTATATCTACGGATCAGCGCATCGGTGCGGAGCACTGGACTAACTATTAGGAGCTATACGAGTAGTACCTACAGGGTAAAGTAAAAGACAATAAGGAGAGACTAGAACAAAAGGGTATGTGTAGCAACAAAGAACAATAAGAAGAGATTACAATAAGGAGTGGATCTTCGGAGTACCAAGCGGCGGTATGGAGGCCCGAGGCATGGACTTGACAGGGGAGCTACGCGTGTCAGGGAGCCGTCAGGGCATTTGGGAATGGAAAGGGTATCGAGAAAGGGGTGGTTGTACTGTCTTGGGGAGGTACCGGGAGCGTGAGATACATGAGATAGGGGGTGTGGGAGTGTGTGGTTGGTACTGGGACTGGCCTGGTTGTAGTCAGGGCATGACACATACATCTGGTGTCAAAATAATAACAGAGTTATATTGAGTATTGTAGTGATAGTAATAGTAAGTAAGCATACACCTGGTCCCAAGCTAATGACAAAGAGGTCAAGATAAGGAACCAGGCTATGGGGGACTGGCTATATACATACAATCTGGTCTGTAACAAACAACAATGCAATATTGTACAGTGCAGGCACAAGGAAGGTGGCAGAAGCCAATAGAGGGGGAGAAGGTGGATTAGTAATCAATGGGGAGTGACAGCGACAGAATGTAATCATGATGAAATGACTTATTGTACAAGTAAATGTGTAGAAATAGTGAGAAAAGGAAAATAATAGGGGCTGCACACTTTGTGACACTAAGTTGTTTTGGGTAAGGTTATGAGGACTTTTGATGATTCAGCCATTATTGCTGGAAATGTCATTGTTTTTGAGAGGTAGATGATCAAAAAATCTCAGTCATTATACAGGCTTGGCACTCTGAGACTTGGGAAGTGCCTTAAAATTATTCACATATCTTGACATGGGGTTCAGAGGGTATTAACAGTGCCAATAAACATATGCAAATTGATATTTTCACAGCACCCTAAGTAAAAGTCTGTAAAAATGAACAATTTGGTAGGCAAGGATATAATGCACTATCTAGCCAAAACATCAGAGGCCAATCTTGCTGACATTGGTTCATATCTCCCAAATAGTAGTTAAATGAATTTGTTCAAACATCATTGAGAGGAGCTGTCTCATTTATGTTTGTTTTGGCTTGGCCGGGAACGTGTGACCACTGACGCGTGACAGTGCCGGAATTAGCGCCGTCCATCTAGTCCAAACAGACGCAAGCAAAAGACCAGGACGCGCGTCGCGTCTAACACGAACACCTGCCTCATTTTATTCCCTTCCTCGTTACACCATGTCTGATCCTGCAAAGTTTGCCATCCCCGTTCCATCGAAAGATCCAGCCTCAAAGAAACCGGACCAAACCGACAAGGAGGAGGGGACTTCGAAGTTGGAGGTCAAGAAGGATGAAGAGAAGGATGGCGATGAACTGGTACTGTATTCCCCCAAGTTTGAATTAGAGGGCTACTGATCTACTTTAGTCTGAAGAAGACCTTCAGCTTCGCTCAGAGCTTGAGATGCTTGTCGAACGATTAAAGGTCACCTTCCTGCACTTCGCTGTTGATCTAGTCTCACAGGTTTAAATCAGGAATCTGATACGGAGCTTTATCGACCTGCACTCGAGTCTCTTCGAACCCTAATCCGCACATCTACTTCCTCTATGACATCTGTACCAAAACCGCTGAAATTTCTCCGACCACATTTCCCAGACCTTCAAACGCTGTATGAGACTTGGCCAGCCTCAGAAAACAAGGTGGGCTCATGAACGCACTCTTTTGTGAAGCTGTCTGATCCATATATGATAGAGCCAATTCGCAGATATTCTCTCAGTACTTGCCATGACTTATTCCGACACGCAACCCCGAGGAACACTGAAATATCGACTCCTGTCCGCGTCTCTCAAGCCGGTAAATGCACCTTTGGTCGATCCTGGTACCTGGGGCCACGAATATGTTCGTCACCTCGCTGCTGAGCTCGGTGAAGAATTTGAGCACCGCGAGGAACAAGAGGGTGGTACATCCACGGAATCGGAAACCTCGAAAGTTGAGGTTCCGGGAACGATTGAGGATCTGCGCTCACTTGCCAAAGAGTGCTCCTTGTTCTTGCTCAGTCATAACGCGGAACCCGATGCTGTGGATTTGTTGCAAGAATTAGAGATGATAGAGAGCATTGTGACTTTGGTGGATGAGAACACATTCGACCGAGTTTGCCAATATATGACGCGTTGTGTCAGCTTTCTGCCTCCACCAGACGACATTGCCTTCCTTCAAACGGTTCACAAAATATATACGCAATTCCAGAAGTTCCCTGAAGCTATCACCCTTGCCATTCGTCTGGGAGATCGAGATATGGTACGAGACGATTTCAACGCGGCTGGTAACCCGTACGTGTTTATCTAACTTGGATATATAGACGCTGATCTGAAACAACAGTGTCATGAAGCGTCAACTCGCGTTTATCCTTGCTCGCGCCCAGATACCTATTGAGTGGCTGCAAGCAGACAGCGCGGATGGTGAAGAGGAAGAGGAATTTTCTTCCGACCTTTTGGAATGCCTCAGTAATACTCGTCTCAGTACATCGTTCCGTGAATTTGGAAAAGAAATGGGTGTAGAGGAGGCCAAGAGTCTTGAGGATGTATACAAGACGCATTTAGAAAATACCCGTGAGTCTTCTACTGATTGGTTCCTTTCCGTTTCTGATTGTCCTGATATGTAGGTGCATCAACATCCAACGTTGACTCTGCTCGTGGCAATCTTGCTGGAACCTTCGTCAATGCGTTCGTGAATGCTGGATTTGGGAACGACAAACTGATGGTCGATGTTGAGGCAGGAAGTAGCTGGATCTACAAAAACAAGGATCATGGTATGTGGATTGTCCGTCATCTTTTAGTCTGTTAACCTAGATATAGGTATGATGAGTGCCGCTGCATCGCTTGGCCTGAGTCTGCTTTGGGACACCGATATGGGTCTTACGCATATCGATAAGTACACTTACTCAGCGGAGGAATATATCAAGGTGAAGATATCAAGGCAAATTGTCACGACGTGAACGCTCACCATGTCGATTTTCCAGGCAGGTTGCTATCTCGCCATCGGTATTTCTAACGCGAGTATTCGCACTGAAACCGACGCAGCTCTCGCGCTTTTAGCTGAACACGTAGAGAACAAGTCTGTCCCTCTCCGGACGGGTGCCATCATGGGTCTCGGAATGGCTTACGCCGGATCCCAACGGGAGGAAGTCATGGCGACTCTTCTTCCATTAATCGTGGATGAAGACGTTTCAATGGAAATCTGCAGCTTGGCTGCTCTCGCTCTTGGTTTTGTCTTTGTGGGTAGCGAGAACGGCGAAATCACAGGAACGATTCTGCAGGTGTTAATGGAGAAAGCCGAGCGAGGAGACAAAGAGCTCGAAGGAAAGTGGGCGCGATTCCTATCTTTAGGTTTAGGTTTACTATACTTGGGTAGGTTTTCGTTCTACAGTGTCTCAGCTAGCATCAGCTGACATCTCACAAGGTCAACAAAATGGTAGCGATGCCACGTTAGAAACACTCAAAGCCATTGAGAAGCCCATTTCTAAGACAGCACAGGTCATTGTTGAAGGATGCGCGTTTGCGGGAACCACTAACGTCCTAAGGGTTCAGAAGATGCTTCATGAATGTGATGAGCATATTGTGCCCCCGAAGGAGGACGAAAAGAAAGAGGGTGATAAAGAGAAGAAAGAGGGTGATGAGAAAAAAGATGGCGAAGAGAAGAAAGAAGAACCGTCCAAGCAGGATGACGCCTTCCAAACCTTTGCTGTCATCGCTATTGCTTTAATCTCAATGGGAGAGGAAATCGGCTCCCAGATGTCTATGAGACAATTTAACCATCTTGTGAGTTCTTTCAAGATCTGTTCTTACAACGTTCAGTATTTTCTCACCCTCAGCGTAGATGCATTATGGTGAACCCAACATACGGAAAGCAGTACCTCTTGCCATCGGCCTTGTTAATGCTTCAAATCCCCAACTACCAATCCTAGAAACACTTTCGAAGTACAGTCACGACAATGATCTTACTGTCGCCCTCAACGCGATCTTCGCCATGGGTCTGGTCGGTGCCGGGTCAAACAATGCGCGGTTAGCCCAGATGCTTCGACAACTTGCCGGGTACTATCATAAGGAAGCTGATTGTCTGTTCATGGTGCGGATAGCACAGGGACTAGTACACATGGGCAAGGGCACCGTTGGCGTTAACCCTTTCTTCTCAGACCGTAGTATCATGCATAAGCCTGCCGTCGCCGGACTGTTGGCTGTTCTCACCGCGTTCACAGATGCGAAAGGATGTGCGTGGCTGCTTAATTCGTGTTGTACAATATGCTGATCATTCTGTCCATGAACAGTTATTCTGGACAAGCAGCATTGGATGCTATACTTCCTAGTGAATGCAATGTATCCTCGATTCATGATCACTCTTGATGAAGAGCTCAACAATGTACCTGTGGCTGTTCGTGTTGGTCAGGTAAGATTTTTGCAGCGTCGTGCAGTCTGTTCCAAATTGCTGATAGATTGATAATCAATATCTCTGTACTCTCTTCTGTACAACAGGCGGTTGATGTTGTGGGGCAAGCAGGAAAGCCACGGACGATATCTGGCTTCCAGACACATACAACACCGGTGCGACTTGGGACCACAGAACGAGCGGAGTTAGCAACAGAGGAGTTCATCCCGTATGCTGCTGTCCTCGAAGGCTTCGTCATTCTCAAAAAGAACCCTGGATGGGAGAGCGAAGACAGCAGAATGCAGCTGTGACCTAGTAGAAATTTTGTTATGTAGATGTCGCATTGCTTTAAATTTCATATGTAGTTTAAGAATTCAGAACGGAGTGGCTGTGATGCGAATTCTTTCCCTCTGATTCACACAGATATAAGCGAGCGTCTTGCGACGAATGACAAACACCAAACAAGGAGATATATCAACTTCAACGGTCATTTGATATTTTTAGGAGACATTGGACCTACGATAGATGATCGCGAGCGAAACGAAGCAATACTGGCTAGGAGGGCTGAACCGGGAAGACAAATTAGTGTCGCGCAAACTCCCACGGAGTCGGAATACCCGCGGATGTGTACGGATGAGCAGAGCATAGTGCCAGCACCAACCAAGACCATTGGACCTAACACTTCGAAGCGAGCACCCTATGTGAGCCGTATTTGGATTGGAGGGGCCCCCTCTGAGCCGGACAAAGGAGGCTCACATTTGAATGCATGTTATAACTCGGCTATGTTTTTGTAAACATATATTGGATGCTGTCCCAAAATGCGTAGCATATTAGCCATGAGCTTGGTTTTTGCGGTGGCTGGACGCGATTGACTGCTTTGACCGGCCAAAGCAGTGTCAACTTACATAACAAATATTTACTGCTTTGGCTTCAGTGCGCATGATCGCACTGTCAGTCTCGGTATTGTGTCACGACTCAATGTGAATAAATGACTGTCGGCATGTGGTAACTGCACCGGCGCCTATGGAAATAATCAGTTGCAGAAATGACTGGCGGCTTGTGATGAATGGACCGTGTTGAGGCAGCACTCTGTACATACACATACCCTGCTTTGACTATCCCTATCTGACAAGACCGTGCCTACAGGTCAATAGCTATAGAGGTTCTAAGGCCGGATCTGGCCCAGGAATGGCCCGGGATAATTCCAAGGTCCGGAACTGAGTATTGGCCTGTAGTACACACTGGAAGTGGGACGTCGGTGAAGCTATTAGCAACACCCTTCACACACTGTTGGTGTCCCCGGGAATTATGGCAAGAGTGCAAGATTGGGATGAGCAGCCTAAATGGGGTTCCTGATGATCCGGGAGTCTGGAAGCAAAGGGTAAAGAAGATATTAAAGACTGGGATAAGATGGTACACTTGATTTCAAGCTTGACTACAACGTACAAAGTATTCTAGCTTATATACATCCCAAATACAGTCAGAAGACCTCGATGAAAGCTCGGAACAATAAATAAATACAATGATAGCCACAAGGTTATTATTCCGAAGTCCGGCCGCTCCGGGCTGGGCCGGTGACACGCCTAAATTTTGGCTAGACGTCTATGTTGTGAATTGTGACATTTTCACGTATAGATTTGTATTGAGAGGACTGTAATTGAGACCCAGATTGACAGTCAAAGTCAATACTGAATCAGTCTAATAAGTTGAAGGGACCATATACCCATACTACCACAAGTTGGTTAGTTTACCCATCCCTGATACTACCTACGGATAGCAGTCTACCTGTTTGTCAAGCAGGATTATACCAGACTCGGACTACATCCGAAGGATGACGATTCACGTATGACATACCAAGGGTATTCTTATTGGACCTTACACTGGCAGGAGTTTGGAAGAACTTACTCAAGTGACCAAGAACCGAGGATTGACTCGAAATGACTTTCTAGAACTCAGGAATTATCAAATACTCCTTCTAGAACGAGATCATGCATTAATCTAAAAGACTGCGATTTAGTCTAATAGACCAATCAAGTTGCATGGTTGAGGAAAATGACTAGAAGAACGATCGAAGTACTGCGAGGCTCCGAAGACATATCAAATGAATGTCAAAGAGTCCTGACGTAGAAAACATTGAAGAATGCAATTAAATGAATACTATGCGTAACTCCCTTGATAGAGTATAGGCACAATGGGTGTCTGTTGAAAGAGAGAAGCAATTAGTTTAATCCAGATGAATCAGATTGATAGGATTAGAATCGAGGAGAGCTGATTTGCCTCCGGACGAGGTGACAAATGATCGAAGTAAGTGTTGAACCGCAATGACAGTTGAACACCATTCGAGTCATCCTCCAAAAACAATTAAATTAAATGAATATTGAAGTACCTGCCTATGTTTGGAGGTATACTAGAATCTTGGAACCAATATGGACCAAATAAGGACATGTAGATTCAAATTAAATGGTATCTGACTGAGTGTAGAAGTTTCCTTGCGGTTCCGAACGTTGATTGTATTAAATTAATTGTACTATGTGACTCTATATTCTGTATGTATAAATAGCGATCCGATGTATCTGGAATACAAGTGATTTTGGGACGACGTTGCAGTGCTAATCCGTAAAAAGGAAAGACACACTCCCGCCAGACTGAAACCTCTTCGCTAGCAGCCATTCGGGCCCGGCACTTGTGAGTATAGGAATGTCGTGTTCTGCTCCTTGTGACTGCGAGAAGTCTATCCAGTTGTTGGGTATTCTTCGAACTTAGGATCAGTCGTTGGTCTTAAGGGCAAATCACGCTGTGTGGTTGTGCCAGCACATAGTTCTAGCCCTCCGTAGGGGTCTGTGTGTTTCGGTTTTAATTTACTTTGATTCAAAACCCCAATTCTTGATATACCCAAATCAATACAAACCAAAGCACAAAGCGTGCTGAATCTACCTTGATCAAAGGAATATATTGAATCCTTAGAACGATTCAAATTGATTGATCGAAGCTTCGTACTTAGCTCTCAAAGCTTTGCGGAACCTTTGCCAACGCTACCCCTTGCTATTAAATAAATTTGATAGCAGTGAACTTGCATATTGTGTATTAGATTGGTTGGTTGGAGTGCCCATTAGATTCCTTCCTTTCTCTTTCACACAAAAAACGAGGCAAGCTCGTTACCGGGAAGCATATTGGGTGAATTGCATGCATATGACACTATCTATATATGTTGTCTCCGATTATGTGATACTGTACAGTACCTATAGATCATGCACAATGGCATATCCAAGTCCCTCAGTTGTTCTATTATCAACTGAGGTGAGCTTAGGTATATCAGATGCCCCGTCCACGCGCTAACTAGGCCATAGTTTAGATTTACCTTAACAGATTATGAGACTCGGACTCTGATTGGTCCAGAAGTAAAAAAGACAAAAGCTACCTGCAGTAGAAAGAAACTAACTGAGACGATCTCAAATGAGATGTCAACAGGAAGTATGTTGAATATACCCAGGCTCCCAGACAAGAAACAGCTCGTCGGCGAGGATAACTAGAGGCCGTTTAAGTGGGAGATATCATTTGCAATATAGGCAAGAGGACTGACTGGGTATCTCAATGGTACCATCCCGAGGCCCACACATACGACAGATGCCTACCCTGGACCGATCTACCAGACATCGGCAACTCCGGCATACAGCCCTACCCCTGCCCAGAGGAATGGGAAGTACGGGACAGACTAGTAGCGGGGGCAATTGTCTCAAACACTGTCAACCCTGTGGGACTGGGAATAGATGAAACAAAGTGCGCATCAGAAATCTGGTCAAGACTAATCAAATGGTTCAAGAAACAAGACGAACAAAGGATCTACTTAGCTGAAACCGCACTTCGACATGAAGTATTTGACCCAACTGCAGACAACGTGGAATTACATGAAAAGAAAATGCAGAACCTTCTAAAGAAGGTGCACAATCTGGGGGGAACAACCATGGATGCACAATTCCGCCGCATCATCATCTTCTCAATGCCTCCTGACTGGAGACAGGACATCAGGACAGTACCAGATACTTTGAGCAAAGATGCATTTACATACCTTTAGACACTGTGGTACCAGAGAGAAGAAGAACGAAAGGAGGAGGAACACGACATGAGGAGAGTAAAAGCACTTATGGCAGCATACACCCAAGTCCCAACTGCGAACCAACAGAACCATACCACAAACAGATCAGCAACAATATGTCATAACTGCAGCAAGCCCGGGCACATAGCCAAGAAGTGCTGGGCAAAAGGTGGAGGCATGGAAGGTCAGGGGCCACGCAACTACTCAAGATCTGGGACAGCAAACACTAGTGCGAGCACCACAACAACAGCAGAAACGGAAGTAACCTCACCCATGGGAATGTACGTAATATCTGTGAGGACAAGTAATGAATGCAGTATGTTCATGCCTCACCCAAGACCAGACTTAAGCACTGATCTAGTAAACAGACAGAATAATTCCATTCTAAGGAATAAGGATCAGTGTGAGAGTAATGGGAAAGGGGCGAGGGAGGTACTTAGTTGTTCCGTCGTTCCAACAAAAGTGTTAAGATTATGTACACTGTGTAACCGTGCCAGAGGCCACAAGGTGTCTAAGGGCAGAAGGTCAAATGGGACAGTGGTGAAGTTATTAACAACACCGCCGTTATGCCGTTAGTCCCCGGAGATCAAGAGTATAGAAGAGAGGAACCAGTAGCAGCCAAGTCGAAGCAAACCAAAGAACGTATAAGTCCTAAGGTTATAGTAGAGAGTACTTCAAGGCAATGAGCCTGAAGACTTTAGAGGAGAACTAAGTTGAGGAGGGAATCTAAGTCAGAAAGGAGATCTAAGTTGATAATTAAACTGAGGAACTACAGTAGCGTACAGGCAGTATTTATATCTATGGATCGGCGCATCAGTGCAGAGCGCTAGACTAACTACTAGGAGCTATACGTGTAGTACCTGCAGAGTAGAGTAAAAGACAATAAGGAGAGACTAGGATGAAAGGGTATGTGTAGCGAGAAAGAACAATAAGAAGGAGATTACAATAAACAGTAGATCTTCAGAATACCAAGCGGCGGAATGGGGCACCAAGGCATGGACTTGACAAAAAGACTGTATAGCATGTTACGGGTGTACATCCCTGTATTCAGCTCCGATACCTATAATAAAGACTTTCCTGGATTCAGGGGCATCAGAACACTGTTGGGTTTGCAAATCCAATTTCATCGAGTATATGGAAGTTCAGGGACAAGGCGGAAGTAGCGCCATATCTGGTGATGCTGGGAGGTTCCAAATACTTGGCCTAGGGACTGTACAA